GTATTCTAGCGAGGGCTTAGGAGACCTAATTGATATCCTGGTCGATTTATAAATACTTTTTCATACAGGTTTTGCACGCTCTTGGGGCATTTGAATATTTAATATCTTTCTTTTAAAAAATAAAAACGAAGTTCAAAAGATTTTGTTCAACTAGCTGATAGCAAAGTGAGTATCGGCTGTTTTTTCTGCTAACAAAAATGCAACATCGTCTTTTCTCTTTTTTTTCTATTTGTCTTTATGCTACAGATAGTGCCTCACATCCATGGGTTAGCTGAAATTTCAATGTATTGGTACCTATGGTTGCTTTTAACTCTACAAATTGCATGCAGCTTACATTTTTTGAAATGTGTCAGATGTGGCCTGAACTAATTGCAAAGAGCAAGGAGGGCGGTGCAAATGTAATTCAGACATATGTGTTTTGGAATGGCCATGGGGGGAGTTAGACGACAGGTGCAACAAATCTTTCCGCCCTGCTAGTTTGTTTATAAAGTTTGAATGATTATCTCGTGGAACAAGTTTGCTTGCTTTCACTAAAATGTGAGTATTTTATTCCAAACTTCTTGTTCAGTATCACTTTGAAGGAAGATATGACATTGTCAAGTTCGTGAAGCTAGTGGGATCTAGTGGACTCTATCTCCATCTTCGCATAGGTCCTTATGTGTGTGCTGAGTGGAATTTTGGGTATTACATATTTTTGCATTTTATTTCTACAATTCTCTTGCTAGATTTATTTCTATTCACGAAGTTGGAACATATTCTTTCTGAAGCTGTTAAAGATCAATTCATCATATTGCAAGATTGAACATTGTTCAAGTGCTTTAATGTTTCTTTGCACTACCTGCTAGGTGCTTTGGATATAAACCATTGTATGATTTCTGTCTATTGTGCGTAACTTGTTGCTGGATATTGAGAGGCAAGAGCATGGGATTCACCACCTTTTGTGAATAAAAAATAAAATTTCAAACTCACTTAGTCATAGGTGTTGAATTAAATACCTAAACTGTTGAGAACATTAGTGTTGATTTATTAGAAGACACCAAAAAGTGATTCCAACAATAAAATGGAAACTTAAGGTGAGGTTTTTGGCTATATTGGCACCGAGAACAAAGAAATTTTTTATAAGGGTGGCAACAATTGGGCTGTACCGAATATCTTAGCATTTGAGTTTAAGCTTAAATTTTAAACTGTATCAAGCTTAAATTCAGCTCAAAGTTTGATCTACTACTTTTAAGCTGAGTTCATCTCATTAGAAAAATATAGAGTTCGAGTTCGATTAAGAGAAAACTCGGCAAAAAACTGAGTTCGAATAAGCTCAAACTCAAGCTCGAGCTTGAACTACATAAAATCGAGCACAACAAGCTCGATTAGGAGCTCATAACATCTTATTAATTTAATTATATTTAAAAATTTTGCAAATATTTTTAATATACAGTTGCAATCATCTCAAAAACATATTGTACGTTATATGTTTTAATAAAATATATTTAATTTATTAATACATAAGCATCTTGCAAGCTTTCTAACTAAATGCTTTTAGGCTGGACTTTGGCTCATTTAGCTAAATAAACCTTTTTTGGCTCAAATTGAGTCTTGGGATTCAAATTTGATTGAACTCAAATGAACTTTGACCTAGCCAAATATAAATTGTTTAGAAACATGTTTGACTCATAGCCACTCCTAATTTTTCAGAAAATTTCATTTCTTGATAACTTGTCTTTTGGTAATGTCTTCCATTTTTTTTATAGAAAAATAAACTTTGTTAGGATCAGATAGAGAATTACAAATGCGAGAATAAGACCTCCTCCTCAAAGATGCTATACTTTTTCTTCCTAGGAAAAAAGACATTCTCCTCAAAAATCAAAACAAAATGGAAGACTTCCTACAGACTAAAGGTGATTCTCTTTCTTCTTATAAGGACTTGAGAGATCTAATAATATTGTGACTGGTTTGTTAAGCTTTTAAACTTCAGGTGGCATTCCTTTGTTGTCTTGTTTATATAATTCATACATTCTTCCCCCAAAAAGTAATTAGAAATAGCTAAAATACTTGTGCAAAAAGTAAAAAAACATAACAGTTTCTTTTGTCTTAATAAAAAAATTTCAACTATCAAAATTATGTCATTTATTCGGGAATTACTTTAGACTTGTGTTAATTAAAACATAAATACAATGTTATATTTTAAGGCTGAGATTATCCTACTTAAGACTGATGTATGTACTATATATCTCGTGGGAGAAAAGAGTCCATAAATTAAAGAACATGTTTATGTCTAGGTAGTCTGTATCAATTTGAACTGCCTTTCCTTCCTAACTATATTTTTTTGGGCCAGTCCTTCAATGCTTTTGGCCCTACAGTTTCTAGTTTTGTAAATGTAAAGAACTTTTCTTACTCTTGGTTGTTGCAATAGCATTAATAAGGATTAGGCTTGTATCACTTCTTTTTGCTACTTCTGTCTTTCTGTTATTTTAGTTAAAATCTTTCAGGGGCTTTCCAGTGTGGCTGCGTGATATCCCTGGCATAACATTTCGAACAGACAATGCACCTTTCAAGGTACATTCAATGTATGGTCGTTGGTGCTTGCATTTTCTTTATCACCATTTATAAGTGCCTAATTCCATTAATTATATATTTCAATTAACTGCCAGAGGTGGCAGTAAGTGCACAGAAAAAGGGATCGGGGGGTGGGGGTGGGGGGATGTGACCGAGTTAACTTATTATTCAAAAATGAGTTTTAGAAGCCAGAGGAAGCCAAATAAATGGCAGAACAGCCGTATGATAATATTCACAAGAAAAAACATGAATAACTCAAGTTGAGAG